TGAAGCTCCACAGAATACTAAATAGGCTGCATTGTTCTCTTCCCAGATGCCGACATTTACTTCTGTGTGTGTGTGTGTGTGTGTGTGTGTGTGTGTACATAATAGAAAGAGATGAGACAGAGATACAATCACAGAGAAACACTGAACGCGAAACCGATTGATGTAATATTAAGCAAAACAGTTACTCCACACATAGAGGAGGTAAGGGACAGTTTAATAGCCAAAACAGTAAAAGTCGACGACAAAGTACTTCCGTACATCAAATACCATCACAACTCACTTATGAAGACGAAATTCATTTACGTTTTATCAAACTAAATCTTCCTCACGGTGTTTTAAACAAAGTGTTTATTCATGTCCCGTCCATATTAATTTAGCTTTTTACAGACTAACAAATTTATATTTAGGGTTCGCTGCCACCTGATGACAGTAATAACTGTTTCTCTGATAAAGAATAAAACAGAAAACCCACGCGACCATAACAACAACTGATCTTGTACACGTGGCTACAACATGAGTTTGTATACACGGATGTTCCACTATAAGTCCTGTTTTTAATGTAACCTTCAGTTTGGTTTTAAGACGAACTACTAAACTAACATGGCAATAGTCGACGATAGTTAGAAAAAAAAATTAACTTAGACTTTTAATAAACTTTCCCAAACATTGATAAAACTTTAGAAATACGCAAAACATTATCAAAAATAGGAAAATATTCGTATTCTTGAATTTTAGGCCATAAAGTCAACACATGTGGTACTATTGGCGGGGCTAGTCAAGGTAGGACGGGGCAAGATGGAACAGAGTCAGGATGTGGCGCAGGCTGGAACTGGGAAATCTCTCTCTCTCTCTCTCTCTCTCTCTCTGCAAATAGTGTGACTATTTGGTGTGTGTGTGTGTGTGTGTGTCAACCTTGACACGTGAGGTGTGACGTCTTCCTCTTGTGTGTGTGTGGTGGTACCTCCCTCGTCTCCTCCCCCCTCTTTTTCCTGCCACTCCCACTCCCTCTCTTCCTCCCACTCCTCCTCCTGCTCCGCCTCGGAATCGAAATGATGAGTATGACGATCATCCAGCTATGAAACAATGATAAAAGTTAAGAACATAAGAAAGGAGGAAACTGCAGCGGGCCTATTGACCCATACTGGACAGTACCGTTTACACCCAACCCCTATTGCTCATATAAGCATCCAACCTATGTTTGAAGCTATTCAGCGTATTCGAGTTAATGATGATATTTGGTAACTTGTTCCATTCATCCACTACTGTTTCCAAACCAGTGTTTACCAATTTCACGCCGAAATCTAAATTTGTCTAATTTAAAACCATTGTTACGAGTTCGCTCCTGGTTGGATAGTTTGAGTACCTTTGTAATGTCCCCATTGTTTAGCCCTGACTTGCATTTATACACCTCTATCATGTCGCCCCTCACTCTACGTCTCTCGAGGGAGTGCAAATTAAAATGCTTTAACCTGTCTCTGTATTCAAGGTTCCTAATGCCTGGGATTAGTCTTGTCATTCTCCTCTGAATTCTTTCCAATGATTCTATATCCATTCTGTAATACGGTGACCAGAACTGAACTGCGTAATCCAGGTGTGGTCTCACAAGCGCTAGATATAATTTTAAGATGACCTCGCTAGTCTTGTAACTAACACTCCTTTGTATGAACCCAAGTACATTATCAGCCTTGTTACGAGCAAAAACACCTTTTTTACTTGGCTTAAGATTCCTACTTATCATTACTCCTAAATCTCTCTCGCAGTTGGATTCAACAATGGCATTGTTGTTCATCTGGTAACTGGTTTCCCTGTTTACATCTCCTATACTGAGTACTTTACATTTGTCCACATTGAATTTCATCTGCCATTTTTCCGACCATTCGAAAAATTTGTTTAGATCTTCCTGTAGTTTTGCAGAGTACTCGTCAGATTTAATTACACGTCCTATTTTAGTGTCATCAGCAAATTTACTTATGTTGCTGTCTTTGCCGATATCTATGTCGTTTATGTATATAATAAATAATAATGGTCCAAGTACTGAGCCTTGGGGAACTCCACTAGTGACGTTGCTCCAATGCGATTTAGTGCCGTTTATGCTCACTCACTGTTTCCTGTCCCGTAACCACGCCCTAATCCATTTAAGGATATTACCTTTGATGCCTTGCCCTTCTACCTTTCTAATTAGTCTTTCGTGGGGGACTCTGTCGAAGGTTTTGCTAAAGTCGAGATATACCACATCATAATTGTGCCCCTCGTCCACCGATTCGAAAACTGATGAAAAGAATGTTTATAGATTAGTTAGACATGAACGCCCGCTTGTGAAGCCATGTTGGGAATAATTGATCAACTTGTGCTTCTCCAGGTGATTTCGAATAGAGTTTGAAATAATTGATTCTAGTAATTTACCTACTATTGATGTTAGACAGATTGGGAGGTAGTTAGAGGATAGTGATCTATCCCCCTTCTTAAAAATCGGTATTACATTCGCTATCCTCCAGGATTCTGGTACTACACCTGTTTTTAAGGACATGTTAAACAACTTTGCTAAGGGCATACTAAGCTCTTCCTTACATTCCTTTAATACTCTGGCAAATATCTCATCGGGACCAGGTGACTTATTAGGCTTCAGTTTGTCTATTTGCTTATTAACATCGTTACTAGTCACTACCATCTCGCTTAATTTGTTTTCTTCACTATCTCTGAATAGAGTCGGTGCCTCGGGTATCATGTTTACATTTTCGGTGGTGAAAACTGTTGAAAAATATTTATTCAGATTATTACTCATTTCTCCGTCGTTATCAGTTAGCTCGCCGGTGTCTGGACGTATTGGTCCAATCTTATCTCGTGTTTTAGTTTGATACATTTGGTAGAATCCTTTGGGGTTTGTTTTCGCCTCCCCTGCTTCCTTCAGTTCATAGTTCCTCTTGGCTTTTCTTATCTCGGTCTTAACCGTACCGGCCAATAGTTAGTGTGTGTGTGAATCTATTATCTATATAAAACAAAGAAGTATGTCTGTTTGTTTGTGTGTGTGTGTGTCCGCACGAGAATCTCGGAAACTACTTTACCGATCTGCAGTGGTGATGGATGGTGTTATATATAGTAATGATGGATGGTGTTATATGTAGTGATGATGGGTGGTGTTATATGTAGTGATGATGGATGGTGTTATATGTAGTGATGATGGGTGGTGTTATATGTAGTGATGATGGATGGTGTTATATGTAGTGGTGATGGGTGGTGTTATATGTAGTGATGATGGGTGGTGTTATATGTAGTGATGATGGGTGGTGCTATATGTAGTGATGATGGATGGTGTTATATGTAGTGATGATGGATGGTGTTATATGTAGTGATGATTGGTGGTGTTATATGTAGTGATGATGGATGGTGTTATATGTAGTGATGATGGGTGGTGTTATATGTAGTGATTATATATGATGATGGATGGTGTTATATGTAGTGATGGATGGTGTTATATGTAGTGATGATGGGTGGTGTTATATGTAGTGATGATGGATGGTGTTATATGTAGTGATGATGGGTGGTGTTATATATGATGATGATGATGGATGGTGTTATATGTAGTGATGGACAAGACAATAAAATAACCGGTTAATGCTAAAAAAAATATACTTTGCTGTACCGTTGCAGTGGAACTTACATACACCGGTAATGAACTATTGATGGAAGAAGTTGTTTTGGGGACTGAACAGTGAGACAATGTTGAGCCTCCCGGAGGGTGGCGTCAGCTAGCAGACAGGCGGCGTTCAAATGGCTAATAAGTCATGAAAGTTAATAAATGTCAATTGATGAAAACCGTGGTGGCGTTCAGTGTTCTTGTGCCATGCTGTACTGGCTGGATGATAATAAATGTTACATAATACTTCCTTGAGATAAATGTATAGTATATATCAGGTGCCTACAAGAAAGGTCTGGCTCTCAACTGGCTCAGCCATGTTAATGTTATGATTTTTATCGACTCCGTATCTGTGTTCTTCTGGCTAAATAAATTGTTTCAATATCAAAAGTTTCAACCAACAAAGTGTGTGTGTGTGTGTGTGTGTGTGTGTGTGTGTTTTGGCTGGGCTGCAGCTAAAGGTGGTTACCGTCCTGTAGGGTGTGTGTGTTTTGGCTGGGCTGCAGCTAAAGGTAGTTACCGTCCTGTAGGGTGTGTGTGTTTTGGCTGGGCTGCAGCTAAAGGTGGTGGAAATCCCCTGTAGGGTGTGTGTTTGGCTGGGCTGCAGCTAAAGGTGGTTACAAGTCACCAGCCCAGGGTGTGTGTTTAGCTGGGCTACAGCCAAGGTAGTTATACAAATCACCAGCAAAGGGTGTGTGTGTTTTAGCTGGGCTGCAGCAAAAGGTGAATTAAAATCACATAGGGTGTGTATTTAGCTGAGCTGCAGCTAAAGGTGGATTACACAAATCCCCTGTAGAGATTGTGTGTGTTTAGCTGGGCTGCAGCCAAGGTAAGCCACAAATCCTGTAGAGGGTGTGTGTGTTTTGGCCTGGGCTGCAGCCAAAGGTGGTCCCAAATCCTGTAGGGTGTGTGTGTTTAGCTGGGCTGCAGCCAAAGGTGGACCCGATCCTGTGGGGTGTGTGTTTTGGCTGGGCAGCTAAAGGTGGTTAAGATCCCCTGTAGAGGGTAGTGTGTTTTGGCTGGGCTGCAGCCAAAGGTGGTCGCTGGCTGGGCGGCTGCAGCCAAAGGTGGTTACCGTCCTGTAGGGTGTGTGTGTTTTGGCTGGGCTGCAGCTAAAGGTGGTTACTGTCCTGTAGGGTGTGTGTGTTTTGGCTGGGCTGCAGCTAAGGGTGGTTACTGTCCTGTAGGGTGTGTGTGTTTTGGCTGGGCTGCAGCTAAAGGTGGTTACTGTCCTGTAGGGTGTGTGTGTTTTGGCTGGGCTGCAGCCAAAGGTGGTTACCGTCCTGTAGGGTGTGTGTGTTTTGGCTGGGCTGCAGCCAAAGGTAGTTACTGTCCTGTAGGGTGTGGGTGTTGTGGTTCATTGTATTCATTTTTGGTTCAGCCGTTCATCTTGCTTTAGTAGGAAGTTCACCAAAGAGCGAACTTCGGTGTTGAACTGTTCCCGATGTTGCTGAACAGATTATAGGCTGGTTTCTGAGGGAGGTTTAGTGGAGATGAGCACCCAATTGTGCTTGCCCTTTGGCCGCACGTACATTTTGGTGGAAAATTCGGCCCAGTATTTGTAAAAGGTTTTGACATCTTTTAATGGGGTGGAGCTTCGTCCAAAGCTTGGTGGTGGCAGCTTGCTGGTGTTTTGTTTGCATTTCATCTCCCAGAAAGAGATCTCTCGGAAGAGCTTCTGGAAAACGCTGTAAAACTTGGCGTTGTAGTCTGGGGGGCCGGAGTATGACATACTTGAACGGTTTATTGACAGATTTACTGTCACTTGAGGTCTGCATACGAATGTGGGCATTCGTTTGGGTGTCGTCTCCTGGGTCTCGGGGGTTGTGTCACTGGAGCCCCTGTCCAAGAAGTGACCATTGCGCAGCACTTCATAGGGCATCTTGTAACTCTTGAAAAGTTTTTGTGGCTTTAGGGTCGTTGGGGTTCTTGTCTGGATGGCATCGTCGAGCCAGACGAAGGTACGCCTGTCGGATCTCTGTTTCGGAAGCGTTAAAAGTAACTCCCAGTGTTTTCCACGGGGAAGTCATTTTAGATTATTTATCAAGTGTCAATTCAAATGGGTTATCAAGTAAGCGTGAAATTGACGGTCAACTTGCAAAAAGCCTTCCCAAGATACACAGGTTGGAATTTCCAAATACAGTATAGTAAAGGACATTCAGATAGTGAAGGACATTCAGATAGTGAAGACACTGTAGCGTCGCCTGGTGATGGGGTCCAAGATGTGAGGATAGTGTGATGTGTGTAGTGAGGATAGTTTGATGTGTGTAGTGAGGATAGTGTGATGTGTGTAGTGAGGATAGTGTGATGTGTGTAGTGAGGATAGTTTGATGTGTGTAGTGAGGATAGTGTGATGTATGTAGTGAGGATAGTGTGATGTATGTAGTGAGGATAGTGTGATGTATGTAGTGAGGATAGTTTGATGTATGTAGTGAGGATAGTTTGATGTGTGTAGTGAGGATAGTTTGATGTGTGTAGTGAGGATAGTTTGATGTGTGTAGTGAGGATAGTTTGATGTGTGTAGTGAGGATAGTTTGATGTATGTAGTGAGGATAGTTTGATGTGTGTAGTGAGGATAGTTTGATGTGTGTAGTGAGGATAGTTTGATGTATGTAGTGAGGATAGTTTGATGTGTGTGGTGAGGATAGTTTGAGTGTGTGGCGGGGATGGCGGAGGTGTGTAGTGAGGGGATGGCGGAAGTGTGTAGTGAGGATGAGCGGGGTGTGTAGTGAGGGATGGCGGGGGTGTGTGGTGAGGATGGCGGAGGTGTGGTGGGGATGAGCGGAGGTGTGTGTGGTGGGGATGGCGGGGTGTAGTGAGGATAGCTTGAAGTGTGTAGTGAGGAGAGCTTGAAGTGTGTGTAGTGAGGATAGCTTGAAGTGTGTAGTGAGGATAGTTTGAAGTTTGTAGTGAGGATAGCTTGAAGTGTGTAGTGAGGATAGCTTGAAGTGTGTGTAGTGAGGAGAGCTTGAAGTGTGTGTAGTGAGGAGAGCTCTCAAGTGTGTAGTGAGGAGAGCTCTCAAGTGTGTAGTGAGGAGAGCTCTCAGGTGTGTAGTGAGGAGAGCTCTTAGGTGTGTTGTGAGGATAGCTCTTAAGTGTGTAGTGAGGAGAGCTCTCAAGTGTGTAGTGAGGAGAGCTCTCAAGTGTGTAGTGAGGAGAGCTCTCAAGTGTGTAGTGAGGAGAGCTCTCAAGTGTGTAGTGAGGAGAGCTCTCAAGTGTGTAGTGAGGAGAGCTCTTAGGTGTGTTGTGAGGATAGCTTGAAGTATTGTATAGTCATAGAGGCTCCTGGACCGAGTGTTGTGAGGCTCTTGTGTTCACCTGAATAGTTTAAACCAACTGCTTAGGTGAGAAACAACTTGTACAATAAATTACTCCTGGTTCAGTTCACACACACCGGTAGGCGACGTCTTTATTACTAATCAAAAGCAATAATAATAATAATAATAGACAGGTAAGCAAGTGAGACGGGAGGGGGAGAAAGAGGCATACCTACCCGTCTCTCTCTACCTGTCTCTTCCTTTACGGGATGTGGCACCTGTCAACCCGTCACCGTGTCAACAGTATAGTAATTTAAAGACTATAAAAACTAACACAGCCTCTGCCAGACAAGATGACGTCACATAGTTCAAGGACTGACTGGCGGGCGTCTCTTTGCAACGCCCCCCCCTCTGACGCCACGCCCCCCCTCTGACGCCACTCCCCCTGACGCCCCCCCGAGCAGTACAACCAAATATTACAACTCAGGAAGTGTGACATGCCGGGCCGCGTCATCAACGGGATTTAACTGACTCACTGAGGTCAGGATGAGTCGGCAGTAGCGGGAGTCCGGTGTGGGCGGCGGACGAGTGTGTAGATGGTGGTGGTATGGGGGGGGGGTGAGGTGGATGGTGGTAGTGGTGTGGGCGGCGGGTGAGGAGTGGTGGTGCAGGCGGCGACGGGTGGTGATGCGGGCGGCGGGATGACACCAGCTTCACGCACGATGGGCTGGAAGTAGACGCCCACTGGCAGTGATCCTCACACAGAAGCACCACCGACCTCCTCCTCTCGTCTTCCGGGTTGAACTTGGCCTTCCTCTCCTCCTCCTCCTCCTTCTTCCCCTCCTCCTTCCTCATTCCTAACTTCATCTCTTCTTCCCCTTTCCGATTCCCTCCTCCTCTTCCCGACTTTTTCCTCCCTTTCCCGACTTCCTCCTCCCTTTCCCGACTTCCTCCTCTGCCTCCTCCTCCAGCGGCGCCTCCGTCAGCAGGGGGGGGGGGAAGACGGTAAGGGCGAGTGTAGGTGTTCTGGGTGGGCAGGGTGGGTCGTCATTAGTCAGGGCGACTGACGTGTTATCACTACCCAAAATAGGCTGAACAAGTAGCTAGGGTGGGTGTGACTTGACCTGACCTGACCCAGCACACCTTGTCTCCAGGTGACCAGCTAGCTAATGAGGGAGAGGGTGGTGTGGCACCGCAGGAGTGAAGGGAGGGCGGGGTGGAGTCACCTGTCTGGCGGGTGTATCTGCCGGACCTAACACTAATAGCCAGAGGTAGTGGTGGTGATGGCCGGGGAACTGATAATGGTGGTGAGTGGTGGTGGTGGTTGTCGGTGGTGGTGGTGGGTGTCGATGTGGTGAGCCAGTAGTGGTTGTCGATAATGGTGGTAGTAGTGGGTGTCGGTAATGGTGGTAGTAGTGGTTGTCGATAATGGTGGTAGTAGTGGTTGTCGATAATGGTGGTTGTAGTGGTTGTGGATAATGGTGGTAGTAGTGGTTGTCGATAATGGTGGTAGTAGTGGTTGTCGATAATGGTGGTAGTAGTGGTTGTCGATAATGGTGGTAGTAGTGGTTGTCGGTAATGGTGGTAGTAGTGGTTGTCGATAATGGTGGTAGTAGTGGTTGTCGATAATGGTGGTTGTAGTGGTTGTGGATAATGGTGGTAGTAGTGGTTGTCGGTAATGGTGGTAGTAGTGGTTGTTGGTAATGGTGG